GGCCATCAGTCAGCAAACACGCATAAAAGCAAAGCAGCAGGCAACATCGATACAAAAGGCGCAGCAGTTATCTCGCACGCAAGCCTCCATCTTTACAACTCACCCCCCACTCGTGCCATCGTTCACCGCCGGGCGCCTCCGAAAGACAAAAGAAAGCCGACGCGGCACGTGCGCCTCTGGCGGCGCGCCGGCGAGATAAAAACACTCGCGCAGCGGATTCCGCGGATGACTCCGCCCAAAGAGCATGGAAAGGCCCTTTGAGAGCACGTTCGGAGAGTGCCAAAACGAAGTGTTGCCAACGCAAGAACGCGGAGCGCGTGGTATGTGCAATCCTCTTTGTGTGGGTAGGTCGGTCCGTACTTTATTAAGAGGACGATGAATCTCCGCTTGAAAGCACGCCACATTACGACCCCTTGTGGTTGTTCCGTGTGAAAATAAAAACCTAAGGCGACTTTTCCAGATTAGGGAAAAGTTTTGACAAAATGGGGCAATAAACTGCTTCTAGACAGAAAATGGAAAAATTTAGGGAACGTAACACGAACTTGCATTAGCAACTCTTCGATAAAATAAACAAATCAAAGAAAAGCGAGTGTTTATAAATGCAACTAAAAAAAGGAAATAAATAATTTATTTTTTACGCGCATATGCGAAAATTGTATCTATTGAAATCCAAAGATGTTACGTAAACGTTATTTTTGATGAAAATATTTTGAGAAATATTATATGATTCACTTCAAAACGAAATTCAAATGCGTGTAAATAAAAATAATACTCTCTGATATTAAAGAAAACTATAGTACTTTATTTCGGTGGAAATTACATTTAATGATATTGACAACAGACTTACACAGACTTAACACAACTATCACGAATATTAGTACCTAAACTTGGGCAACAAAATCAGGCTTTAGCATCTTATGCATTATCAAATTATGTATCACTTTTGTAATTAAAAATAAACTCAAGTATTTGTACATTAAGAGAAAAAAATGAACTATAAAGAAGACAATATGTTATTAAGATGTATCCTCAAAATTTTCAAATTTTAGGCTGTATATTTTGTTTGCTAGAGTTACTTCAAAATCTGAAACAAATACATTTATTTGAACTACAATTGGTTATGACCCGATTACAGGTAATAAACAGTAATTACAATAATAATAAAAATAATAACAGAAAACAATACACACCGAGGATGCAACAATCACACTAACACTAATATTAGGTATTATAACTATTGTTTCAACTCTATCATGATATCGTATACAACAATTATATGATGGTGGTAATAAAAGTCAATACAAACTACGTAGATATTGGCTAAATTAGATATTTTTAAAAAGGACATTGATCGTGTTTACTACACGTTACTTCACTGTTTTTATTTGAGTTATCGCACTTAGTTTCTTATTTAACATCCTAGTTTGTCCTGACTTATTCCTAAACCTTCGGAAACTTAGAAGAAAGTTGCTGCGGGTACTGTTTCAATCTCCAATTGCTTTGTTAGAAAATCAAAATTTCCCAAGATCTGAATGTTGTGAGCGTGATCGCTTCGCTCGAAATCTACCTTGTGTTGCCTTTTCAAGCTGTCATTTCAAATGTTAATCTGAAGCTCGTTAATGGAATGTGGTCGGCCGTAAAGTGACAAATTACTTTCATTGTTGACTCGAATTAGACGTATTTATGCAAAAAAATACCCCGAAGTAAATTCATTAAAATCCATCACCAGATGAGAACACACACACACACTGAAATAATTCTGGAAGACCAGAAATTTCACCAATTCAAATTATCAGCAATTATTTCTCTTTTATCCCTAAGTAAAGTAAATAGGAATTTGCTGTAATACCTAGAAATTTTACAGCAAATTCAAATACAAAAGAGACACATCCTGTTGTTACAAAAATTGCAAAGGAAGTACTAATGATTACATAATCATTTTGAAATTGAAGGATGAGAATTCAAATGATTCACTTGTATCTAGGACAAAGGATTTGTTATATCATTTATTAAATTATTACCGTAGCAGAAAAATGCAGAAATTATTCATATTTTATTGTTCTATGTGGCCTCCATAATAGCAGAGTGATGAAGTTGTTTCTTTGAAAAGCTTAGAGTTCATAATGATGTTGAGGAATAGGAACCAAATTGTAACACTGGAGGTACGAAATGATGAGACCAGTTTGATGAGTGTCGTGGTGTGAAAAAGATTACGATCTATATAATGAACTCATTTGAATATGACAGCTGCTAATGATGATGATCAATCATTTCAAAATAATCCGATGTTCCCTATATGAATCGTGAATATCTTTAGAATGAATTATCAAGACTTGCTTTGTTTTTCTTATAGGTTGTATAACGGGTGTAGGAATACGGAACATTCTCATCAGCTGCTTTGAAGAAATAACACATTACGTTGTATCCTTACATAAGAGTGATAGAGAAAAATTATTCTGGAAATATTTCCAAATATGAAATCTATTTAACTTCTATTACAGAAAAACAAATTTTAAGAAAAGGTTTTACGATCAGATACTTCATCATTATTTCATATTTATTCATCATGCACATCATTAAAAATATCTGTTACAATTCTGTGATTTTTATATACATAAACATTTCTCCTAAATGTACCTACCATACAGAGCAGTATACGTAGTCCCATAAAGTTAGTATGTACGAATAATGTAATCTAATAATGCGGCAAAAACCGCAATTGTCTACCGAAAACTTCCTTGATTGTTGAATCCGAGCACGTCAACTGCTGTCATTAAGTGTAGTGCTTGTTTTTATTACGGGACGTGGGGGTGATCTTTCCCTACCGGATAACGAGAATTCGACGCCATCCTTTTCATCGCTATGGTGAGGTTTTCTCTAAACAGGTATCACCCAGCAGCGAGGCACCGCCACACACGGGACGGAATCTACGCTCCAGGCATGTGTGGTGGTGTAGGGTGTGTGTCAGTGTAAGTGCGTGTAAGGGGTGATGAGAGGATAAGGAGAGGAAGGAAAGATCGTGCCTGGTCCGTGGCCCGTTTGTTAGGGTACTGCTCCGGCATTCGCCTGGTGTTGATCGGAGAAACCACGGAAAATTATCGATCAGAGTAGCCGGTCGCTAGAACTCTCCTCCAGACAGTCACTGAATTTGACCTAGCTGACAAGCTAGTGTCAAAAATCCTGCCACTGTCGAGAATAGAAACTAGGACCCCCAGGTCAGAGGGACGTCAGTAACACCAATTGATTCCCTGTGATACCGAAGTCGGTATTAGGGAGATTTGAGGAAGAAAGAGAAGTTTGACAATTTTTCCTATTTAAGCCATTTTATTTTCGTTTCTCAAGTTGAATAAATCGAATTCATAAATGTATGTTGGTAGAGGAGCTGACGTAAGTTTTTCAAAAGGCCCGCTTGGGCATAAAAATTTCCGAAGGATTGCAAATGTATCTCAGTAATCTCAAAGACTGTAAGAATACTACGAACTCTGTAACATGTCTAAGTCCACAAATACACAGAAGTGAACTAGAGAACCATGCAAACATTTACATTGAAGTAAAGTAGAAACAATATCATTTTTTTTACCGAATAGCGTTATTATCGTTCGCCCAACCAGAGAGTTCGAATATAGTAACTGAGACCGACACCTAACGGAGAACACGAGAGTCAAATCCCAGGCGCATCAGGGGTCCGCCCGCGAAACGCGCCTGCTCCATAAGGTCCCCTGACCCGCGTCGGTGGTATGCTTCTAAAGGAGCCTGGGTCGAAAACTCAGGGAAAGCTACGGGAATGTATCCAGAGTATGTTCTCTCGAGGAAACCCATCATGGAACACTTAACTTACGTCTATGAGAGAACAGGACCAAAGAAAAAAAGTCATACAAATAAAATGAGTTCAAATCAAATATGTATACGTCATGTTCTCTTAAGGAAACCCATCATGGAACACTTAATTTGCATCTATGAAAGAACAGGACCAAAGAAAAAAACGTAATACAAATAAAATGTGTTCAAATCAAATATTTATACGTCATGTTCTCTCAAGGAAACCAATCATGCGTCACTTAATTTCCATCTCTGGAAGAACAGGACAAAAGAAAAAACCGTAATACAAATAAAATGAGATCAAATCTAACATTTATACGTCATGTTCTCTCAAGGAAATCCATCATAGGTCACTTAATTTCCGTCTATGGAAAAACAGGACCAAAGAAAAAAAACGTAATACAAATAAAATGTGTTCAAATCAAATATTTATTCGTCCTATTCTCTCAAAGAAATCCATCATGGGTCACTTAATTTCCGCCTATGGAAGAACAGAACCAAAGAAAAAAACGTAATACAAATAAAATGAGTTCAAATCAAATATTTATACGTCATGTTCTCTTAAAGAAACCCATCATTGAACACTTAATTTGCGTCTATGAAAGAACAGGACCAAAGAAAAAAACGTAATACAAATAAAATGAGTTCAAATCAAATATTTATACGTCATGTTCTCTCAAGGAAACCCATCATGTGTCACTTAATTTCCATCTATGGAAGAACAGGACCAAAGAAAAAACCGTAATACAAATAAAATGAGATCAAATCAAATCTTTATACGTCCTGTTCTCTCAAGGAAATCATCATGGGTCACTTAATTTCCGTCTATGGAAGAACAGGACCAAAGGAAAAAAACGTAATACAAAAAAAATGTGTTCAAATCTAATATTTATTCGCATGTTTTCTCAAAGAAATCCATCATGGGTCACTTAATTTCCGCCTATGGAAGAACAGGACCAAAGAAAAAAAACGTAATACAAATAAAACGTGTTCAAATCAAATATTTATTCGCATGTTCTCTCAAAGAAATCTATCATGGGTCACTTAATTTCCATCTATGGAAGAACAGGACCAAAGAAAAAACCGTAATACAAATAAAACGAGATCAAATCAAATCTTTATACATAATTTATTCTTCTGCATATTTTACAAATGACGAATGTTGTAGTGGTTCCATTCACTTTGGCGGGTTGGGGTCAGGGCATGGCCAAGGAAAGGCCGGGCACAATTGGGGCGGTACGGAGTGTTTGACTGTAGTAGCCGGCATCGCTGAAAGAACAAAAATTGATAAGCAATGAATTCTGTATTACATGAACAAGATCAACATTGCATGTTGCAAATAATAATTTTTCTTAGTACAAAACTACTTAACTCCAAATGACGGAAATTTAATTCAGCAAAACTCTCGTCGGGTTGAAACTGATACATAAGTTGGCAATAATGATATTGATACATACTACGTAGTATATACAACACAAAATGAAGTTTACCCTCAAGCTTGGGTATTTGTATGTATCACTAGAAACCGAAACTTCATGCTCTAAAAAAGTTAAAAATGTACATGAAACCACGCATTAATGCATTAAGAAAACAAATACATCCCCTTAAAACAAAACAATAGATGACATTAATTTAATCTTTATTCAGGTAATGTTCATTTTACACTTCATCTTTCTCGAACTACAATAATAAACATATTTTTTTACATTATGAAATCTATTGATCAAAAACATGTCTTCAAATAAGTTCATGTTCAATTTTTTGAAAATATAAATAGTTTTTGCTTTAAACTGGCAATTTTTAAACAATTATTTTCTCAAAAACGGCTCCAACTTTTAATTTTTTCTTCATGTGTAGCAAAGAATGGTACAGAAAATTGAGGTGGTCCAATTCTTGGCGATCGCTTTGTATATTTTTGAAAACTGCAAAAATTAACATTGCAAAAGTACAATATTGTTGATGGATATTTTGTTAAATGAATAAAAAATTAATTCTTTAAGAAAGGACATATACATTTTTTTAGAATTAGTAGTTTAGAGTAATTTTTGTAAATCTTCGAAATTTGCAAATTCGAATTTTCCACGCTTCATTTGTAGAGTATTTCATGAGATATCAGAAGGCAATACATACTGCATCGCTAAATCGCTTCTCGACAGTTTCAAACCTTTTTTCAATGAAGAGAGAAGGTTAGACTGTACAAAACGTAGTTTTAATTGTCTTACATCTGTTGTTGGTATTAATATTAAAATAATAAATTTTCACATTTTACAAGATAATGTTCTACGATTCGTAATGAGTTTTACAAGTGATGACTGAAATGTGTTAATATGGACAGAAATTGCGTTATCATAATATTATGTAATTACTTCTGATGCGATAAAATACGTACTGCTATGGAAACTCCAGGATACAAGGTAAATACTGCAATCAAGGTTTGAAATTATTCTTTATTTATTCTTATTCTGTGAAATTATTCTTTCTTTTCTACATAACTTGCTGAAAATACTGTAACTGTTAAATATCTTTTTTTGGTTGTAAAAGTACGAAATGACTACTGTTCCTATCGAAATAAGTGCGAATATGCACCACAGACACTTCCTTTGAATTAGTTTGGACTTTTTAAACATACAGCATCGTGTTAGTAGGAGAGAAATTGCAATATTATAATATTAAATAACCGTTTCCGATAATGCGAGAAAGTTTGTTCTGTTGTAGTAAGTAGTTTTATTTGCGTTTATTCGAGTGATTGATGAGGTAGACCGAAGGTTTGATTAGAAATGTGTGGAGAGGACAGCTAAGGGATGCGCGGTGGGTTTTAGCTTTAGTTGACAGAGTGGTTGTTTTTTAGAAAGAAACCAGGGGGTTTAGCTTTGCATTTGGGGAATCATCGTACCTACAGGCGACTGTAAACATTAGATGCAATGTCGGATATACTCGGCAAATTTCCAGGGGCAAATCTTTTACCTTAATAAAGATATTTCATTATTGAACAGGAATATGCAATGACACAGTCAAACGTACAGATGAATAAAGACTACAAAACGTATTATATTTTTCAGTGGGGGCGGGAAATAACATATATTCAGAATCAGTTTGTATTGATTTTCTATTGTTGGGAAATCACTAATAAATTAAATGTGTTACAAACCACTACAAATCAGCTAAGCTAAGTTACGGCTACAAATTGATTAAACATTACATCGTGGTTGTGCAACGCGGAAGACGGAAGGAAAGAAAAACTTTTCTAATCTATGACATACCATCTAGGCGTGAATTAGACTGTTGCCGGTAACTATATTCTAGACCCGTAGCAACTTGCCTGTAGCAATGTGGTAGAAACTGCCCAGAAAATCGATCAGCAACAAAGTGAAGATGAAGTAGCGAAACAACGTACAAGAGCCCATGTTTGCTCAAGAAACAGTCTTTTCACCTTTCTGATGTGGACTGTGCGTTTCATAAATGTGATTCACATTTCTTTGAATACGGGTCAAGGCAATGATGATCCTATTTAGATTAGTTTATTGCAAGCAAGGCATTGGCATGTAATAAAGATTATTTCAGTTGCGTTATACCTTTTTTCCATTTTTTTCTTTCTCTTCAATATGAAAGTTATCTTTACGATGTTTTGATAATTCCATTGTTTCTTCTAATTAAAAATGGTTACCTCTTAGATTTGAGGATATTCATAATTGGTTTTTTGTAACCTTGATTCTTATTCAAAAACCGTTAAGTACGTAGGCATAAATACCGTTAGTTAGATCCATACAGCTAGACAATATATAATATTGATTCAATTATCAGGACTTTCCCAATTCTTCAGTTGCTTCTTGCTATCGTACTTGGATGATATTTTCGGATTTTTTCAATTTACTGACGGATTACACATGCTTCATATTTCCTTTCAGCTGAGGTAATTCAGGGTTGGCACTGTATCGGGAGGTCCTAGGTTTTGAATTGCGATAGTCGTAGGATTTTCGACACAAGTTTGTCAGCTAGATCGAATTCAGCCGCTGTCTGGACGGCAATTCGAGCGGCCGGCTGCTCTGATCGGTAATTATTTGTGGTTTCTCCGATTAACACCAGGCGAATACCGGAGCAGTAGCCTAACAAACAAGCCACGGACCGCGCGCGATCTTTCCTTCCTCTTCCTTGTCCTAACCTCACCTCTTTACTTACACTAACATGCACTACAATACCACACATCCCGGAGCACCGGTCGATAGCTTCGAGGTAGTCCCGGCTGGGGCGGTGCCTTGCTGGTGAGAGATACCTGGTAGAGGAAACCCCCGCTAGCCTACGGTATGTCGACGCCGGTTAGCGTCATACAGTGAGAGAAGATCATCGACACCTCCCGAGGAGAAAAACATGTACTACACACAAGCTGGGAGACCAGGAAGACACAGTCCCTGCTAAGATGGGCTGCGCTGGCGATACCCGAAAGGGGAAACGACGTCATGCAAACATATATGTTTGCTACGTAAGTATTAGAGAGAAAGTAAAATATTTCTTCCTTATTCTGGATTCAGAAAGTCGCCGAAAAAATTGCAACTTTCAAAATTCTGAAACTCGTAATGAAATAAATTTATCTCATATTAAGTAATCCTGTCTCCATTTGAGGAAAAAAAAACAAATTAGAAGCTATTTTTGAAAAAGTATTGCTATAAATCTAGTTTTATTTCGCAAAATTGCACAAAATCTACTCATATTTTGAAACTGTGCATATTTAAAGATCTAATTTTGATCCTATTTCGTAAAGAAATAAACTTTCTCTTCGATATTGTAGTAATAGGAAAACGACAAAAAATTAAACTTTTGCAAATTCCAAAAATTCGTATAATTAAACGAAAATTGGATCTGCGTCATTTCATAAGCGTTATTTGATCTATCCGAGAAAAAATTGAGTGTTTCTCCAGAAAAAGTGGGAGTATGTCGAGTCTTAGTGTAAATACGTGTCCAAAATCAAAATATCCGTTTCAAATTTCAGGTGTCGAGAGAGACCGAGAGACCGAGAATTATCAATGTTGGTGACAATTGAATCGGGTGTTTTGAAACCTCTCTTTTGTATTTTCACTTTTTGCGAGAAAAAAGAAGTTGCAGGAGAGAGGCATCGTTCCATATGTAAATCCCGTAAATCAGAGATATAACAATGTCCGTGAGAACACTGCAAAGATGCGGTTTGATTCAGAAACTCTGAAAGTCATTGACTTGCGGGGTATGTACAACTATGAATGTATGTGTACAACGTGTTTAAGAGGGATATTACTGACAGATTTGTGAAACGGGATGTTCAATACGGAATCATTCCTAGGAACTAACAAAGAAACACACAAGCAACTGTTTCTGTCATATGAATCATGTTTGATGAAGATTCATTTCACATACGATTGTAATGAATGTGTGAAATACAAACTTGACCTGCAATGTGTATTTTTTACATGTTTAAGTATAAAATTTTGATTCGTTTTTGACAGCCTGTAAATCATAAACTTTTAAATAAGTCCAGCGATTATTGTACTATTGATACAAGTAAATTACAAATCTCCATGGCATTCGCATTCAAGATTTATGCATCAGAATTTTTTTTAAAATCAGAGAAAAGTGCTCTATCTACTGAATGAATCAGTTTTTCTTGTTTTCCCATAACTTTACAATTCCTGACTTGCGGGGTTTTAAAATAACTCATTTAATTCTGTTAACTGTTTTTAGACACTCGCGTTGCTCAGACAGACGTACAGACAAACGTTTAGCTGTAAACCAATTTTGCGGTATGAAGGAACGCCAAGTGCGGATTTGGACAAAAAATGCTTTACAAGTTATTTGCGACATACAGAAGCAAGTTATCCAATTAAAGCTGTCGACCCCAATTGCAACTTGGCTGACAGTAACACTTAAAGTTCGTTAATAACTTCGCTACAGGAGAGATGCCGTATTCTAGACATAGGTGCCATAACTTCAGCCGTCATACTGCGACCTTCCTCAGGGCGAAATACCATGAAGGGGCCCTGTAGGCCCTGTAAGCTTGCAAGCATTTCTCCCAGAGGAAGGTCGCAGTATGAAGGCCAAAACACTGGCAACTGAGTCTAGGTCGCGAAGTCTCCAAATTTCTACGAAAGAGTTATCCACTTTTTTTAATTTATTTATTTAACGATGCTTTCAAAACAACTAAGGTCATTAGCGACCACTATTAATTTGCGTATCAATAACAGTTATTTTACCTCATAACAATCAGAATTATTAAATACATAGTTATACACCACAGATGCATTTTA